AATTCTCTCAAACACCAAAGATCATAACTTACACTCACAATTCACAAAGAAAATAACTCTCTCAAACACCAAATATCATAACTTACACTCACAATTCACAAAGAAAATAATTCTCTCAAACACCAAATATCATAACTTACACTCACAATTCACAAAGAAAATAACTCTCTCAAACACCAAATATCATAACTTACACTCACAATTCACAAAGAAAATAACTCTCTCAAACACCAAATATCATAACTTACACTCACAATTCACAAAGAAAATAATTCTCTCAAACACCAAATATCATAACTTACACTCACAATTCACAAAGAAAATAATTCTCTCAAACACCAAATATCATAACTTACACTCACAATTCACAAAGAAAATAATTCTCTCAAACACCAAATATCATAACTTACACTCACAATTCACAAAGAAAATAATTCTCCCAAACACCAAATATCACAACTTACACTCTGGATTACAAAGCCAAAATTTCTTCCACGATTTCTGCGACATCTTCAATGGTGTCTACCACATCCTCAATGGTGTCCTCAATTTTATTTAGGTCCCTTGCTTCGTTTGTCCTGTCTTTTTCATTATTTTTATTCATGTTGATGCTGAAAAAAATAAATATTGCATTTGTGACATTTCAATGATTTGGGATTCACTGATCATTAATGATCTCTTTACATATAATCAACTATCATAGATAAGGTGCTAGGGCAGTCCTGTCGTTCAACTAATCATCATAAGATAAGATGCTAGGGTAGTCCTGTCGTTCAACTAATCATCATAAGATAAGATGCTAGGTAAGTCCTGTCTTTCAACTAATCATCATAAAATAAGATGCTAGGTAAGTCCTGTCTTTCAACTAATCATCATAAGATAAGGTGCTAGGGCAGTAATGTCGTTCATCTAATCATCATAAGATAAGATGCTAGGGTAGTCCTGTCGTTCAACTAATCATCATAAGATAAGATGCTAGGTAAGTCCTGTCTTTCAACTAATCATCATAAAATAAGATGCTAGGTAAGTCCTGTCTTTCAACTAATCATCATAAGATAAGGTGCTAGGGCAGTAATGTCGTTCATCTAATCATCATAAGATAAGATGCTAGGGTAGTCCTGTCGTTCATCTAATCATCATAAGATAAGATGCTAGGGTAGTCCTGTCGTTCATCTAATCATCATAAGATAAGATGCTAGGGTAGTCCTGTCGTTCATCTATTCATCATAAGATAAGGGTGCTAGGGCAGTCCTGTCGTTCAACTAATAATCATAAGATAAGATGCTAGGGTAGTCCTGTCGTTCAATTAATCATCATTAGATAAGGAGCTTTGATGGAAGTAGAGAATAGCTTATATCACTATGATGGAAGGAGAGTAAAACATGTGATAATATGTTTCGTGCTAATGTGTCTCGTGCCAATGTGTCTCGTGCCAGTGTGTCTCGTGCTAACGTGTCTCGTTCTAATGTGTCTCGTGCTTATGTGTCTCGTGCTTATGTGTCTCGTGCTTATGTGTCTCGTGCTATTTGGTTTCGAAATGACTATAATAATGTGTCGAAGGACAAATTCCCCAATAGCTTTGGGGCACAGTTGGTTCTAAAAGGACAATTTAAAATTGCTTCTTTTGGGTCAATAAAATCAAATGGCTTGTAAGAAAGCTGATGTCCCCAGTCGAACAGCTGGTTCGGCAGCCACAATGAGACTCTGTCTAGACCTTCAAGGAAGGCATCATGACGGTCCTACAGGTTACTCGGGTGACAGTTTTCCCAACGCTATGATCCTGATTTTTTCGGAGTATGTAAAATTTCGATGTTTTTGTTTCACTAGTCATTTGGGTGCGTGCGTGCCTAGAAGATGTTGATGTGTGTCCTCACTTGGGGATGTGCCTAGAATATGTTGATGTGTGTCCTCACTTGGGGGTATGCCTAGAGTATGTTGATGTGTGTCATCACTTGGGGGCGGGCCTTACATATGTTGATGTGTGTCACCACTTTGGGGCGGACCTTACATATATTGATGTGTGTCATCACTTGGGGGCGGGCCTTACATATGTTTATGTGTGTCACCACTTGGGGGCGGGCCTTACAGATGGTGATGTGTGTGCTCACGTGGATGCGTTCCTAGAAGATGTTTATGTGTGTCCTCAAATTCTCTTGCACCTTTTTGTGTATTATTCAAATTGTGCTACCTATGAATATTATGATGGAAATTGTCCTAACTATGATTAGTATGATGGAACTTTTGCTACCTGTGATTAGTATGATGAGAAGTGTGCTACCTAAGATCAGTATAATGGGAATTGTGCTACCTATTATTACTATGATTGAAATTGTGCTACCTATGATGAGTATGAGGGGGATTTGTGCTACCTATTATTAGTATGATTTAAATTGTGCTACTTATGATGAGTATAATGGGAATTGTGCTACCTATGATTAGTATGATGGGAAGATAGACTCAATTATTGCCATGAAGGAGTCCATTGGCCATTTTAACATGC